TTGAATGCAGATTTTTAAAGAAAATTATTCTGATTTCTAAAGGAAAAGATAAACTGATTTTTTACATGAACTGCTACTTGTAGAGTAAGTTTAATGAAATTCAGCTTCCTTTCATAAATAATGCAGCACTTGCATTTGATTAGGTGAAGCCTAGAGGAATTTCCACCTAATCAGACGCATAGCAAGGATTGCCTTGCAGACTGTTACCATTATCAGTGGTGATGGCAAGGAAAATGCAGCTCCATCTATGTTCCAGATAGAAAGCTTTGTTTTTCAAGAGAAGTTGCAAAACAAGCTATATATGTTCTGACAATTGATCCCTTGCATCTCAGAGTATCCTGATGGTTTATAAAACAAAGTCTGGATTCCGAATGTTGTTATTCCTGTGGCATGAAGAGACTTCAGGTCAATTGGAGACCTCCTTGTCCTGGTAATTTGTTTCCAACCCGTCTAAGAAAGAAATACATCCTTCATATGAATGAAGAACGGAGAAGACACAGTGTTTGCATTATAGAACTTACRATCAAAATAAGCTAAAGATGAATATCAGGATTCATTGAGACCAATTCCAAAAGTCTTGATAAACAGCACAAACCTGATGTTTTAAAAATAGGAAAAGTATGTTTTTCTCCATTATAACAAGTCACCCACAGCAAAAAGCAAACAACTTTGGTGTATCTGCAAGTTTTGCAGAAACATTTGAAAGTTATTGAGTAAATGTTGCTTTACTTGGTAACTCGTAGTCAAGTTTTATGCTTCTGTGCAAATCCTGCCACAAGACTTTGTTCTGCTGTTTTTATGCCCAGGGAGCTGTTGCTAACAGCAGTGGGTGTGCCTGAACAGAGTGTTGTTTGAATAGGGCTGATAACATATCCCTGGGGTGGTGGTTGGTGTGGTCTGATCCCTCTGCGTGTACCAGAAGTGTCCCTGCAGCCTTTGGGGATTGCTCTGGCCAGCAGTGCCTTGGTGCTGTGCAGTAAGGATTCCCCAACACCTTTGCTGGTAAAAGGCTAACACACACACACACCCAGTATGCTTGTAGCTCATACCTTACCAGAGACAAAGAACAGAAGGGCTCATCCATGTGGATGTTCCAGACATTTATTCCCAGAGGGAATCCAGAGGTGAAGAGAGAGAGGTAGGTTCTCTGCCCCCAGTTATASAGCTGTGGGGCCAGTCACTGGACCTGACAGGGTGGAGAGAGAGAAAGGGCAAAGGGGATTCAATAAACAATGGTGGAAGGGATGGGTGGAGTGAGGGACCAGATTAGGTCCAACCRGGGTAGGAGGATTTACATATTCTTGGAAGGAACCCTCTAATTCTCCAGGGAGTTGTCGAGGTCTTTCCACCACTGAGTTCCAGCTGTCCCAGTAGCCCCCGGGGTGGTCTCATCACCACGACAGGCTGATAGTTCTTTGTTCAACATCCATATTAATAAATTAAAAAATTATCTGGTCTCCATTCTCTAGCCCTGAGGTCAACTGGCACTAATTGTGTGTTCGGTGTTTGTATTCTCTGAGAGACAGTGACCAAGTCAAAAATGGCTTTTGGGACCAAACCAACCCTGATCTGAGCTCAGGCCTGGACCACTCCTGGGAACTATTTGAGCGTGGTATGAAACCAGCATGAACTGAAAAGAGGGCAGGTTTAGATGGGATATTAGGAAGAAATTCTTTATTGTGAAAATGTTGAGTATGGATCATGTTGTTCATAGAAGTTGTGGATGCCCCATTCCTGGAAGTGTCCAAGGCCAGGTTGGATGGAGCTTTGAATAGCCTGATCTAGAGGAAGGTGTCCCTGCACATAGTGGATGGGGATTGGAACAGATGGTCTTTAAGGTCCCTCACATCCCCAAACAATCTATGATTTAGTGATTCTATAACAGCATGGATGGTCRTGGGCTCAGGCTCTGGCTCTGGTTGCTTTACCAGAGGTGATGTTCTCTTAGGCTTGGTGGTGCTTTCTGCTGAACTCAGTCGAGTGGCACTTTGCCCTACCACCACAATAAAGTAATATTCCAAATAAAATATTTGGAGAGAAATAAAAGATCTGAACCCTAGTGGCAAAGCCCAACACCACTGCCTTATCATGCTGTGGTCARAATTTCTCTTTTGTTCAGATATGTAAAATTGAAAATGTCTTGAGTTCTTCAGGCCAAATTTTAAGTAGGTTTAAGCCGACAATTTGTGCTTCCTGAGGTTCTGGGTTTTCACTTACATTTCTTGGAAAGGGCAATGAGATGTAGTGAATAAATGTAAAACACAAAAATGGAGCCCAGGATACATGGGAGACATGTTTGCATCCTGTGATTTGCTGTTGAGAGGTTTCAGCACTGAGCGTAGAAGTGTATTTATGGAGCTGCTGGTCTTAACTGTGCAATTTAAAGGTGAAATCAGTTCCCTTTTTTAATCTTGAGTTTTCATTCCACTCCAAATCGGTGCAAGCAAATCTCCTGGGCCTAAAATGTCATAGGAGCACTAAAGGCCAGGAACAGAATTAATTTCTGAAAGTTTGAGAGAAAAACAATCAGGTTTAGGGCTATAAAATGTTAATCTGTTTCTGACTTTCCCAAGGATTGTCTGAAATCCTTTTGCCCACACGTAACTCAAATGACTTCATGTCAAATAATAGAGCTGTTTTATGTGTGACTACTGACAGAAGCAGTGCACACTGTTATCAGAGCCATATGGTAAAAAAAGACTCAAAAATGTAACTCCCAGACCATTTTCTTGGTCCAAAGCAATGTCAAAATCCCATGGAAAAAATGGAAGACAAGACTGAGCCCCTTTGCCCCTTTGCCCTAAGATGTTCTTTGTTCAAGGTCCTGGTCAAGGTATCACCCAGAGCTGCATCCCAAGTGTTGAGGAGCAGGCAAACTTGGCCCTTTCCTTTCCTCCCCTGCTGTTGCTGTGGAAAACATTTCTGCCAGCCTGCTTCACCTGGGGAGGCTTAGACCTGGTGACAAATGGATTTTGGGGCCAAGGTCAAGGCTCCACACTTACACCCTCATCGCTGTCTTGTCTTCTGCGGTGCTGCTTCAAGCACAGGAAGCCTCTCACWCCCCAAAATGCACCAGGCTCACCAGGGAGTTTCAGGGATGGAAAGGGATGCTAATTCTGTGTCAGCTGTGGCTCTCACCACAAATTTCTTACTCTGCCACTCTGTGACAAGTTCAGTAGGGGGTCTCTTCACAAGTCAGTTGAGCAGCAAGTGCAGGTGGTGTGAGTGAGTGTGGACTCTGGACAACGCACCTGAGGGCTGGCAGCAGAAGTGGTGACCTGTGAAAGACGTGTGGGAGGGATGTTGGCATTCTGTRGTCATTATTTACTGTGAGTGATGGTCACTACATTTATCTTTTGTTATTACAACAGGCCAATTTTTTAAAAACACACATGGCTGCATCCCTGAACAATTTCTCCTCAAATATGTGGCTTTGCAGTCCTTGTTTGCTAGGTGGAAAAAGGACTTTGGTCTTTTTTCTTACTTAGTGGTAGGAAACAYCCTGGTTTGGTTAGAGGTACATGCCCATTTCTCCCAGAGTTCCCTTGAATGTTTCCAGCTTCATCCCCGAATAAGACCTTGCCAAAATMATTTATGAGCTGTGGAGTGAAAATGTGACTGATACAAATGTTGCTGCAGTGTATAAAATGCTAAATTATTCATGGTACTTAAGCACAGAAAATCCCAGGGCTGAATTGACATAGTGAAAAACTCCAGGCAAAAGAAAAAAAAMCCCACWGTGGAAAGTCTAGGATTAAAAACAGTTACAAACTTTAGTCAGGCTATACTGTAGAGTCTTAATCCCTTCGTTTAAATGCCCCTCCTCATTCTGTGCCCTGTGCTTTCATAGCCAACTATTTAATGTCATTTTCCACATCACTTTCTCATGATCAGGGACCTAAGGCAAAGAAATGTCAGAGGAGTTGTCCTCATCCAAAATAAAAAACCTACAGTGGCAGCGGGGTTTGTGACTTCTTAAACTCAAGCCTTGACCACCTTAACCTGCTTCCTCCCAACCAGAAATGAASTGATCATCTGCAGGGATTCTGTGGGATTTCATACCAGAGCACCAGACCTTCTCACACAGATGGTCTCCAGGGTTCTCTGTGGGCGTCTGTCAGAGATTTATTTCTGTATCATAATGAGCCTGAATTTTCACCTATCACCCGAACGGTTCTGGATACTTAAATCATGCCCTGGAYCACTTTCACCTCTGGAGTTTTCTGGTGAAAGACTTACAAACTAAAATATTAATGTAGGGGCACAACTTCGAGAATTTAAGCTGCTAAATGGATCGTGACCTGCWGCTTTATTTGTGGAGAATTTTAACAGAGATACATTGGGCCCAATTGTAATCTTATAACTGAAACAGGCAGATGTAAAGATAAACAGRTCAGATAAAAAGAGAACTGTGCTGAACCAAATGCTACAAGAAGCTTAGAGAATTCATGATGTTAAGCAGTCTGGTTTCAGATCCTTTTATCATTTTGCTTRGTCCTGAAAGCATTGTTCAACAGGTGATTTCAGGTTTCCTTTTGCACTTTATTATCACATTTACAGTAAAAAAAGATTCTAAAAACACAACAAATAATTTTAAATGGTGTTGTGTTGGCTTCTGTATATGTCAAAACGTATTTCCATTGGAAACGTTTTTTGGCAAGGCAGTTCTTGCTTGTTGCAAAAGCATTTTGAATAAAAACATTCAGGTTACTTTAGTCACTATGCCTTGTGCTTGAAGACTAAGATAGGTTTTCAGACCTGTTCAATATTCCTTTTTGCCCTGGAGATAAGAACCATGGGAGAAGATCTGATTTACAGTCTCTTTGGGTGTTGAAAAAGTTCCTCAGGATCGTATCTGACCTGCCGCAAATGAAGGGAAAACAGGATCTTTTAGCTGACATTCTTCCCTTTATTGAGTGCCAAACAGCATTGATGGCAGTGACCTCAGCTTTAYTTGCCAATTAATGAGCATCTGTAAGTTGATATTTCATTTTTCCTAGGCTGTACCCTCGTCAYGCAAGTGCTCTCAACAACTTGGGGACGTTGACCAAAGATGTGGTGGAAGCAAAGGACTATTACAGACGGGCCCTTCAGCTGAACCCTCAGCACAACCGAGCTCTCTTCAACCTCGGCAACCTGCTCAAGTAAGTTGAATGCAGGTCTGGCACTGAGAAAATTCACATTGCCTTTACACACATCACCAAAGTAGGTTTTTTCTGCTAACTGGTGAAGAAATKGTGTYATATCTTAGTGCCATCCAAAAGTGYCGACAMAAAGGTGAGGCTTGGTTTGKATATCCTTGTGCTGTCTGCAACATCATTCTAGGTGTTGTTCACAAGTTTGTTTCAGTTGCAGGGAATTAATTCACTTGTTCCAAAACAGGCATCAGACATGAGTTGCCAAAACCCATCCAGCCACCTGAGATCCCCACCTTGGTGGAGATGTGTAAACCTTTCCTGAGGAGGAAGCTGTATTGTTCAAAGACAGSCATCAGGTGCTGAACTAATAAATAGCACAGATCCAAAAAATCCCTCTCTGCAAGTTCCCACTCCTGCTCATTAGTTGTATGGAAAGTTGTTGTGTAATATAGGCATAAACAGCTTGTGCTGAGATGCTCAGAGCAACAGGGTGTTCATTCCCTTGCAGAGCAGGTAGGTCTGGATTTGAGGGGAAGGGTGGTTTACATCCCTCTACAGTTAAAAACAAGTTGATGAGCTCATTATTTCACTCATTGTTATTTAGTGTCAGCCTTTAGCAAGGAGAATAGAACACAATCATAATCATGCAAATTAATTTGACTAACCATGTCTAAAGACTAAACTTAGATCTGTACAAGAATCCAATGTGATAAGATCTGCAAAGGTTTACATTAAAAAAAGTTAAAATATCTCCATTTAACACCAGCAAAAATATCCTTGTTTTTGTGATGATATTGAGGTATTTGCTGGTAGAACTCCATAAACTGCAGCAGTGAAAGTACATTTTTGCTGATACAAACAGCCYTTATTTTGCTGATAATAGGTCTTGGTAAATCTTTTAGAGCAGCTGGGCTTTGTGCTGGTTAAACCATGACAGGCTYAGTGTGGGACTGGTTTTAAAGTGGCACTGTGTCATTAAAAGTTGATCTTTCTGGTCCTGAAATGTAACTTTAAATGTGGATTTGTATAATGGATATTAAGTGGGCTGCTGAAGTTCTACCTGGTCTGTTCAGTAGCAGAGAAATTATCAGAATAATGTAGAAGTAAACCTAGTGGTTTGAGGTTAGAATATGGGAAATGAGTAACTTTAAACAGAAAGTAGGTAAGTGCATTACTGGAAATACACACAAGGAAGGAAAGTGGTACAATCTTATTACAAGAGAAATGAAAGCTCTTTGTATTATTCATCACATTTRGTTGACTGAAATTAATTTCACGTGGCAATGGTGTTTAAAAATACATATTGTCTTTTAAGTCCATCATATATGCCTTAGTTATTATTCTCTGTTTTGTTTTGGTATTTTTTTAAATATAAAATATTAATACACAAAGATCTGAGCCAGAAGAAGCACTAGGATGTCCCATGTCAATAATGCTTAAATCTAGCCTGTCAATGGGCTCTTCTGACCCAGCTGATGGATAAAAGCTGGATTTGTTGCACAGGAAAAGCACAAAGAAGACGTGGGGGRAAAATCTCTTAGAACTACAGTTTGTTTTCTGTGCAATATGTCATGTTTTTCACAATGTGATCCTTAAGATATTGTGTGTCCTGTGGGATTGTRTGTGCTCTGCTTCCTTCTGTGGTGCCATACTTTGCAGAATGTCAAATGTGTGTGGTGCTTGTKCTAAACTTGTCAAAAGAAAGCGCTCAGGATCCACCTGCCCTTTTCCCACATCCATTTGCTCCCATTTTCTGAATTTCCTCTGGGCTTGCAAAATGTAGTGCATCTGGACACAGCAGCAGTGTTGACTGTATTGGGAGTTGGGTGCTCTTGTCTCCCTGGTCAGCTTAAAAAAACCTGCTAAAAAACAGGCAGAGTTCACACTGGAGGGATTATCACAATGTAAAGCAGATGCTGTGTGGGCAGATCCTGTATGAATGYCACTCCCAAAATGCTATCTCAATCCCTCTGGCCAGCACCTTTCCTAGATGATCCACCAGCTTAGCAAAGAACATCAGCCACGCTGGAGCATGAGGTGACTTGTGACCWGACAGGTACAAGGCAGAGATTTCAAGTTTTACCTTCTTACAATGATGTCTTTATTTACGTTTTCTACCTGGGTCTCCAAATTATCTTTTCATATGTATGTATATATATATGGCAACCAGTATTCTGCAGACACTAAATGCTAGTCTAATATGGGTAATAAATGAAATAAAATGGAAATCTGCAGAATATTGCAAACAGATATTACTTTCTGGCTGTGCTATGAGACATTATGAAGAGTGTTTTGATTTTTAAACAAATGTCAGAGAGAARATAAATGGTCAAGCAATAGAAGCATTTTCTATCTGCTTTGCAGAGGTTTCATTCCATGGTGCAGATCAAGAAGARCSAGATCTGCAACACGTRGGGCATGTCCAGTGAGAGCCCTGCWKGCACTGGGATTGCAATGAAATTGTCTGGGATGGGGAATTCCCAGTTGAATCCTGCTGAGTTTCCTGCACCCTTCCCTGCTCACAGTGTGCAGATCTGATGGTGGATATTTGATTTCATCTCCTCTGGAGTACTGAGAAAGGGGAACTCCAGGATTTTGGAAGGATGCCTTTGTCATTCCCATGTGGGAATCTGCCTTTCATTATTCCATGCAAATGAGCTATTTAAGCATCCATTGCTTGTGATTTAAAATTGAGTAAAAAACTGTTTTGAGGACACAGGATAAAATTTTAAGTCTTTTTCTGTGGAAGCTGTAGATGAAAAATGATGTTTCCATTTTCTGTTTGCACATAAAGAAGACAGCTGTATGCCAGAAGATGAATGTTCTCAGGAAGTATTGCAGGGTAATGGTTGAATAAGCCTCTGGTTTTGTTTACATATCCTAAAATAAAGTTGTATGTCATCATTTTCATGCCCAATATAAATATTGGAGAGTAGATAATTAAACAATGCYGACAGATTTCTTACTTAAAATAGAAAGATGGCCTACCTAAAAGTGAGAAATCTCTCTGCTTTTATGGTCTGTGATCAGCAGCACAGAGCAGCCTGATGCTGCTTTTTTGTATTTTGWGTATTTGTATTGACTCCTGTATAAATTCAGGTTTGTTGAGATACAGATAGATAAATATCATTCAGAATACCTCACAAATTTATAGCCAGTGGGTTATTCTGCAAAGTGACAAGAAATAAAATAYTAAGAACATCTGAAATAAATATCTATCTCAGCTTTCTGCTGCAGGAGGAATGGATAAGAACTTCTCATTTGTGGTACTGTATCAATACTTAAAGCACTGCAATACTCACTTCCCCGTTCCTTATGAAGGAAAGCCTCAGAACTCTTACATGCTTTGMGAGTGTTATGGCTTCATTTTGAAGGGGAAAGTGAAACAGTCTCCACTGAATCTCGAGCTTACTCAAAGGACTGATTCTCTTCTGGATGTGGGGTAATGTACAACATGCCGAGTGTTTGTTATGGTGATTTAGTCCCAGTTTAGCAAACCCATTATTCAGAAGAAGAAGGACTGTCTGCCCTCTCTGATATGGGCTTCTGGATGTATTGGAGGGTGCTAACACAGGCTTGTGGAACTGTCTGGAGCTGCTGAAAACCATCAGGTAGAAATTATGTGTATTGAGATTTAAGATCCTATAGCTACTGAAACGTTCCTTCCTTTCATTCAGATAAGCAGATGGGGTGGTGATGTTCACTGAGACTSCATCTGGCTTTTGGAATGGTCTCTGCAGGATACTCTGGGGCTCATGAAGTGCTGTATTTATCCCTCAGTATCACATACTCAATGTAGCCTGTTGGTGAAACCTCCCCAAACTCTGGAAGTCTAATTTTTGAAGTAGGTTAAAAAAATAACTTAGGTTATTATCRTAGCTTAGGGTCTCTGGAGGTCATTTGGAGATCAAGCCAGCTTCTCGGAGCAAGTCTGATTGGATCAGATTGCTCAGGGCTGTGTCCAGCTGARTCTTGGGCACCTCCAAGGACAGAGATGCCACAATCTCTCCATGAGACCTGTTCCAATGTTTGATCATCCTTGTGGTGAAAAATATTTTTCTTTATATCCAGTCAGGCTTTTCCATGTTCCTACTGGCATCTGTTGCCTCTTGTCCTGTCACTGTGCACCTCTGAGAAGAGTTTGGCTCTGGCTTCTCTATATCCTTGTAAAAAAATTGTTCAGAACAGTTGTGGAGCCTTTGTTGAGTTCTRTGTTTCTGGCTTTAATACAGTCAAATGACATCACAAAATAAAGTATGAAAGTTAGAAAGTCCTTTAGAGCACCCATTCCAGGCTGCTCTCTATTGAATGTGGAATTTGCTCCRGTGCTAGCAGCCCTGTTATCTGGGCTGCATCATCAGACTTTGGCAGACTGGTTTAACCTGGTGCTTCTCCAGCTGCAAGGCACTTGGAAAAATATGGAAGATAAGCTCTCAGTGGAAAGAGCTGTTCCTTGCTTTCAGCTTGAGCAGGCTGACTGTAGAGGCAAGGCTGTGAGCCAGGTGGGGAAGGGAGTGAAAAGAGGGCATTATAAAACAGGGTCATTTGGGTAAAAATTGGAATAAGCAATCACAGATTGCTTGTGTAGTTGAATTTATTCTCTCTGTCACAGTGAAGGTATACATTACCAAACTATTCCTGCTCCAGATCCCTAGTTTGTGGTAAATTAGTGTGTTGGACTGTTCTTTCAATGCTTTGTGCTCTCCCAAATTGCCGATTTATATAAGCGACGGCCTTGATCCTGCAAAATGTTGGCCTTGGGCCAGGAAAGCACTTCAACCAGTAATTAATTTTCAACTTGCATACATAAAAGTTAAGTACACRTTTAAGTGCTTGGCCAGAGCACTTGGTATCTTGCAGGCCTAAGCCCTCTGAGAAACTACTGGATCTGCTTTTTTTAATGTAATTCAGTGTGTCACATAAAAAGATGCCATAATCTTTCCCTCTTTATCCCCACTTTCAGGAGACAAACATTGTTCTTGGATCAAATGGAAAAAAAAAGAGGCCATTTTGGAATAAAAGAGTAATTAAGCGGGCTGCCCCATGTTTGGAGTGAATGCTTKTGGTTAAAGGGAAATTTTACCGCTGCTGAGTGAATCACTTAATCCTTTTATTTCTGTAGCGGGCATTTCCTACATTTTTTGCCAAACATCAATACCTTTATAAAGCAGATATCTGKTTTTGATTTATAAAAACGTGTCATGAAACTCCAGCCAAGGGATCCCAAAGTTTTATAAATTGACAAGCTAGCTAGACTTTAATTAGTGTAGGAGAAAAGTGGTTCTTTATTTGTTTTTGCTTCGCTTGTGTAATTTATATGGAACAGCACTGGAAGAAGAAAAAGACCAGCACAACTGGTTTTACTTAGCTTAATGCACGGGCAAAATATTCTTACATAACTAGAAAGGGAAAAAATCTGCAAAGCCACATATATTATCAGCTGAAATTTGCACCTTATAAACAAGATCTGGTTACTTGACCATGTCACTCAGATGAAATCTAAGGCCAAAGCAGCAAGGTGTTCMCGTATTTTCTGTTTCCCCAGAGCCCTTTGTTTCTTTTTCTAAGCCCTGCTATTCGTATTCTTTGTACACCCAGCACAAGGAAAATGTTGTTTCAGCCCAGCTAAACATCTTTAGATGTTTGTTCAGGAAACCTTCTCATTTTTCAAAGGAGAGAAATACAGAGCGATACTGGAGAAATTATAGCTCAAATAAATAAACATCCCAAGATTTTTGTTAGGGAAACTACTTCTATTTTCCATAGCAAAAAATGCTGGGAAAAAAAAAAAAAACTAGCTCATCAGCATAGCCAGCTCTCAACTATCTCTGTTCATAATCCTTAGGACCTGAAGAACAGATTCCTCTAGCCTARTGATCAAGTTGCTAAGGAATTATTTAGGGATCCTAGGCAGATTTACCTTGAAGATACTTTAATTTCAAATTAATGGAGTCATAAGTAGATCTCTAACAGCATTTGTTGTACAGGAACATACGGAGACTCTTCAAGGTTTTAGTAAAGGAAATTAAGGGTCATAGTGTCTCCAGCCTACTGATGTGAGTATCCTGTTCCCAGATAACAGTGCCTCCATCCTCTTGGCACCCTCCCTGCAGATASTGACCTCCACTGAGTCATTAATCCTTTATCCTCGCAGCTGCTGAGGACAGAGATGGGCTGAGGAGATGCTGGGTACTCTCACTGTGCAGAGGAGGCGTGAGTGAATCATTCCATCTTTGTTGAAGAGGTCAAGCCGGGGACTTCCACGTCTCTTTAAAGTAGTTAATCAGTGGGATAACCTAAACGTCTACTTACAGGAATATTCCTCTCTGGTTCTTTTTTTCCTCCTTCCTGCAGGTCCCAAGGAAAGAAGGAGGAAGCTGTAATCTTGCTGCGGGACTCCATTAAGTATGGCCCAGAGTTTGCCGACGCCTACTCCAGCCTGGCCTCGCTGTTGGCTGAGCAGGTAATGGGGATGGATGGGATGGGATGGGATGGGATGGGATGGGATGGGATGGGATGGGATGGCTCTGTCCCTCTGCCCTCTGTCCCTGCATTTGCCATGGCCACAGCCCCTCCTGCGCCTCCCACCCCTGTCTCGCTCACGGTGGGTCCATGCCATCTCTCAGGCTGCTTCACAGATGGCTTTTCCAGGATGGGAGGCATCTCATTCCCAGTGAGAGATCACACCCACACAGCGTGGCTCTGAATTAAATCGCTGCTGAAGCAGTGAGTAAATCCCCCCTCRGTGGCGAAGGCTCAATCCGCTGCACCTCGAGTGTTGTGACAGCAGGAGAGGCGAGCGCTTCCCCTCACACACAGACGCCTACACAGATAGCCCTGAGATTGCATAATAGATCATTCCAGAGCCGGGAATTGTCAGGAACCGGGGGGGCTGTGCGGCCCAAAGCAGGAATTGTGAGGAGTCAGGGGGGCTGTACGGCCCAGACTGGGAATTGTGAGGAACTGGGAGTGCTCTGCAGCCCAGACCAGAAATTGTGAGGAAGCAGGGGGGCTGTGCAGCCCTGACCAGGAATTGTGAGGAGCCAGGGGGACTCTGCAGCCCTGACCAGGAATTGTCAGGAACCAGGAGGGCTATGGAGTCTTGACCAGGAATTGTGAGGAGCCAGAGGGGCTGTGTGGCCCAGACTGGGAATTGTCAGGAACCAGGGCGGCTGTGCGACCCAGACTGGGAATTGTGAGGAAGCAGGGGTGCTGTGCAGCCCAGAGCAGGAATTGTGAGAAACCAGAGGGACTGTGCGTCCCAGAGCAGGAATTGTCAGGAACCAGGAGGGCTGTGCGGCCCAGAGCAGGAATTGTGAGGAACCTGGGGGGCTGTGCAGCCCAGACCGGGAATTGTGAGGAACCAGCTGGGCTGTGCGGCCCAGACTGGGAATTGTGAGGAGCCAGGGATGCTGTGCAGCCCAGACAGGGAATTGTGAGGAACCGGGAGGGCTGTGCAGCCCAGAGCAGGAATTGTCAGGAACCATGGGGACTGTCCAGCCCAGAGGAGGAATTGTCAGGAAGCAGGGGTGCTGTGTGGCCCGGACTCTGCCCCTTGCACACACACAGAGCGATGCGGTCCTTCATGACTCTGCCCCTTGCACACACACAGAGCGTTGCAGTCCTTCATGACTGTGGTGGGTGATCCCGAGCAGGGAGTGGGAGGGTTCCCTGGCTTTATGTTGCTCTTAATGAGTTGCTGCTCAATATTTTATTTAACCTCATTGTTCATGTGCCTMCAGACCTTATTTACGGTACGTGTCCCAGGCAGTGCTCTGGAGGCAGGATTACTCATTTCCTCTTGGGCCTGCTCCCCACGCTCATTACTCAGCCTCTCCCTACTCTCCGTGGTTAGGTAATTAATTCCTACAAYGTCCCTGTGAGGTGAAATATTGTCCCCACAGAGGAAAAAGAGAACTTGAGGCACAAAATCCATGAGTTGAGAAGGAGCCATGAGTGTGAGTGGCTCACACTGAGGCCACCAAGCCCTCCATCCTCCACACCTGCAGATGAGGGRTGCTGTGATTTGTGCAGTGGTCCCACTCTGGGGCTGTGGGGGTGGGTGACAAGGTCCCTGTAGCTGCACAGCTCCAGCACACCTCTGCAAACCTTTGGAAAATTGATTTTTTTCTCCTTCTGTCTTCAGATCTAATTGTTCTGAGGCATAGGATGCTGAAGCTTTCTTAAAAAGGTTGCTGAATATAAATGCAGACAAAGCAAAAGGGTATCTTTTGGTGTTTTCTATTATTCTGGTTAGTGAAATCTTCTCTGTGTAAGGGAAGGGGATAAATTTCAGCAAAACTATAGGTCTCATTCTTGTTTAWTCTTCTCTAATGATGTAAGCACTCTGCAGAACTCACCTGTGAGTTGTGATGTGCATGAATTACTGAAAAATGTTCTATTTTATTTTCCCTTTTAAGGGAATTTCAAATATCAATATTAACTGCAGGGAATYTCAAAATACAATGTATGAATTTAAAGATGAGCTTCATTGAATGGGAACTTTGAATAAGCCTATCAATGAAGAGTCTCCTGCAAATATAGGAAATGAGTCMTCTGCAGTAATACCTGGTTTTAATATTAATTGAAATTATTAATTAGAGCAATTGATTGCAAGGTCAACAGAGCCAATAAAACCATTATAGTCCAGAGACCTTCTGCCCAAAGCAAATGCCATTAGTGAGTCCAGCAATAATTCATCTCTCTTGCATATAGATTGTTCATCCTATTGGGACTTGAGCAAGTGGTAGGAAAAAAAAGATATTTAGTGCAATTTTCTCAGAAAAGAGCAATTTTCTGCGGACTTTTGACTCTTTCACATGATGATTACTTGATTGTGCACCTGCTGCCTCACACACTCGTCCTGGTGACCACAGTAGAGTCTGTCCTGCAATACCTGCTGCTGCATGTGGCTGGGAGCTTATGGTTCCTTCCCTTCTATGCCTGTAAGAAATTCTGCTAAGAGGAATGTCTCAGGTGCCAGGGAATTAACCTGTTACCTGATGTAATTGCCATTTTCTTTCTCTGATAGCTGATTCTGAAATCAGAGCTGACATGGAAGAAAACCCAGCTGCATTGTATAGAACAGTGTAGCTTGTTTGTGCCTTTTATAAATGCTTGGCCTTCTGGCTGCTCTTTCTGCTTGGAATCAGAACTCCGTCCAAATGTATTGCAGTTTTCCTTGATTTCCGTGAGCATTGCAGTGGTGCTGGTAATGGAAATCAAACCTTTTTACTGCCCGTTTTCACAGCATTCTAATACTGCTTTCCCCTAGTTTACTTTCTTCCCAGCTTCAGTTTCATCCATCATTTTGTGCTACTTTGTGGCTCTTTTCAGGACCTCGTTTCAACTGAGTTTGTGTGTGTGTTTCTTAGCAAAAGAAACTTTTTAACCCACTTAGCTGCAGAGGGAAGCCTGCTCGGGCATGACCAAACTGAAAAACTGAGCCTTATGAAAAACAGAGCTAAAACCGCGGAGTTCAACTGAAAGATTCTCATATGCATAATTTTTTAAATATCATAAAAATCTCATACATTTTTTAAGCCAGTCTTCTGAGTTTTGTGAGGTTGATGAATGTTTCATGAAGGTCTGGGAGGGGCATTATTAAGTGTTAATGAGAATCAAGTCTTGATGAACTTAGAGCTCTATTTCTCCTAAGAAGAGGAGAGGCTGTGAGGAGGGAAAGCTCTGGCAGGAATAGCAGGTTCCACCCTTGCCACTTTCTGACTGTGCTTAATGCAAACACTTTGTTAGACTGGGCGTTGAGCCTGAGGCATGCAGGGTCAGGATGTTAGGTGCCAAAAAAGAAACCCAGTCAAGAGAAAAGTGCTAAAAGTGCTCAATATTGGTGAATGTTTTGACATGGAGCACTCTAACCCGTTTAACACAGCCCTTCCTTGCTTTAAAAACTGGGTTTATGATCAGTAAATAAACTGATGTATATGCATACAAGGCTGCATTCATTGGCTGAAAATTAAAAGCAGAGGACAAGAAAATAATACATTAATCTTGGAAAATATACACAAGAAATTGCTCTTCATTTTAGTCAGTTCTGATGATCACTACACTTTCCCTGACTCTGCAGGATAATGWTGTCAAATTCACATCAATATATCCAAAATTTCCAAAGTTAAGCACTTTTTAAAAACGTGTTTCTGTGCTTTATTGCACGCTTATCTCTTTTGCTTGCTGACCTTTATCATGTAAATGTGAAGGGACTTAACTGCRGCAAACCGTGTGATTTTGTGATCAACCCATACTCTTTCAGTGCAATTCATTCCAGCTCTGCAGTTCTGAAATAGGAGGTGAGAAAAGAGTCCTCACGTTTAGCAGCTGCAGAAAAAAAAAACCTACTGTCAGGTACAGCTTTTAAATCCAGAGAAAGCCCAAAGGGCTCTGTGATTTGGAGGCCTGAAGGAGAGTCCACAGCTGGGAACMGTCCAACCTCTCCTTCCAGTGGATTCCCTTCCAAGCATGGATCTGCCCTGGGAGCTCCAGGCCCTCCTCAGTTGGCTGATTTTGCTTGGGAGCATCATCGGGAGGCTGTGGAGTTTGTTGCTGTAGGGCTRTGCTGCTCAGTGGAAGGGGAAGAATTGAGAAAAGCATCTTTGGGGCTGGAGGCTGTCCTGACACCCCTCTGCGCTSTGTTTGTCTCTCCTGTTCACAGCTCACAGTTTCCTTCCACAAACACACCCGACAGCCAGGCTTTGGGAGTAGGGGGATGGAAGGAGCCTGTGCTTGTGAGCATGAAGGCAGTGGGCACATACAGGCTGACTGGAGGGAAGTGGAAACCTTTTTGATCTGCTCCTTCATCCAAAAGAGAAACCTTGTTGTTTCAGGACCGGGCTGCCTGTAGCTGAAGCTAGACAGAWCACAGCCAGTAAGATGCTTTCTGTAGGCAGGGTGTTCCCAAAGAAAAGATCTGTATTCTCTAGAAATGTTCAGCACCAAAAACCCTCCTTGAAATCAATGCAAAATGCGAGGGCTCAGTGCATCTGGGGATCAGCATGGCATTTCCCATCAGTCCTRTTGAACTACACCTCACACATTGACAAGGCCTGGTTTTAATCCCAACCTGCCAGATTTTCCCCACTCTTTCACCACCCTCCATCTTTCTCCAGCTTCCTTTATCCTCCTGCACTCCCTCCCTACACAGCATACACAACAAGCTTTCTTTCCTTGTATTTTCCTCAYGGCGTAGGGAATGAACAGCAGAGCTCCAGAGGGGAAAAGTTAGCCAGCAAGATGCTCATTAAACAAATAAATTAGAATATATCAGCTCCCGGATGACAGTTATTTCTGAACAGAACCAACACAATCCCTGTTGCTGCRTTTTTCCTGCCTGGGCATGTGCCCAGCTGGGGCCTCACTAGCATTGCACAGGCACCACCTTTTCCAGGTGTTTCACAGGTAGCTACCATTGCAGAGGTTTGGGGGAAAGCTGTCTGAATTGCCCTGGGATCCRTGCCATGGGGTAAAATTTTGGCCTTCTGGAAGGTGGGGTGGGTGCAGGTTACTTGAGCTCCCCATGCAGCGAGGGAGTTATCAGAGTGCAGGTGTGCAGCAAATGGTGCTGACAACCTTTCTGCCATGGCTAAGAAATCTCCTTTTCTTTTAAGGAACGACTTCAGGAAGCTGAGGAGGTCTATAAAGCCGGCATTGAGAATTGTCCAGAGAGCTCCGATCTGCATAACAACTACGGTGTTTTCTTGGTTGATACCGGTAAGTGAGAGGGAGCAAGGGATTTTTCCCTCCCTGCCTTCTTCGCTTTGATTTATTTTATTCAGCAGTACACATCTGAACGGGTGTCAAAAACATCCAAGGCAATAGATGTGCCTCCACGGAAAGCCTGGAAATAAATATCCCTGTGCTGCAGGGAGGGCACAGCRCACTGGAATTTGTAATCAGTGCAGGCACTGTGCAGCATGAGCGTTCAGCCCCACTGCTCCCTTCAGCATTTCTCACCATCACAGCCACTTGCCCTCTTCAGTGTGAGCTGGGCAGCACCCTGACAGTGTTGCCATTTTTCCAGCAAGGCATGGCCACCTCAAACCACATCACAGGCACGCAAATGGGTCATTATGGTCTCTGGAGCACGTGCAGCCCCACTTTGTTACAACCTGGCTCTTTGACTGTAAGGGTTGAGTGCTGCCACTGTAGAAAGGAACATGGCTTTTAAACCACAATCATCTGTGAAAACAAAACCTTATACACTGTGGGGTGAATTGATTTTTYAGGACCTCTATAATGGCATCTTTTATTTTCTGGGCTCCTGGTTCCCATCCAACATACTTGGCACTTTCTGGCATTCACATAACAACAACAAAAACGTCACTTTAATTGCCACCTTTTATTGACAGCTTTATAAGCAAGGCTAAGTTTGACAAATGACTAGTGAAAATTGTCTGTTGTCTCACTCTGGTCCATCCAGAACAGAGCCAAGATTCAGTGATGAAACAGTGTAGGCTTAAGGTATCTGGTTGTCACCCATTCTGCCCCTTTCACATGTCCCCAGCTCCAGTGGTGCTTCTTGGGCAGAAAGAAAGGACACTGGTGTCTGTCATTYTGCAGCTGGCTGTTCTGCCTCTGAGCCATCACTTTTCTGTAGCACCAGTGTGAAACAAGCACAAAACCAAAATCAATGTTCATAATCAAAGGAGGCATCATGCATTAGCAAAAGAGGTTGAGGTTCTGAATTTGTGCCCTGGCAAAMTTCAAGCTTGCAAATAATAAGAATTCCTGAGTAATTTCCCTCTGATGTTCTACTCATCTTTGCTTGCCAACTCAGATAAACTGTTCTGCTCCTGCCAAAATTTGTGGTTCAAATGTAGTGCAGAGCACTTTCTGGTTTTTGCACTTGCCAAAGTCAAAACTATCATTTCCTGGTTTGTTCCTACGCTTCCCTACACACAAACAACTGGGAAAAAACCCACTGACTTTTGATACCTGGGGCATGATGTGTCAATAACCCTCCTGGAGGCATGACAAGGCGTGAAGGAAGGCTGCTGGTGAGCCTGTCACAGGCTGTGCTCCTCACTGGCAGCACAGGGAGATGCTGTGAAACACCACACCAATTAACTTGCAGGATTTTGTGCATCGAGCCTGCAGCAAGTGTCAGGCTTTAAGGAGCCAAAACTCCAGACAGCTCTGCAGTGGTCACAGACACTCAGAGTGTCTCCTTTAACGATGCACATCACCCCTGTGTGTTGAGCRAGGGAGGCACTGGCTGGCTGAGGGACTGAGGTGCATGCCCAGCTGCTTCCCAGGATGTTTTGTAGATATAATTTTCAAAAACATCTGCCTGCTCAGTGATGGGGAAAGGCTGCTGCTGGATGTTCTGAAAAAGTTATACCTTGAATAACATGTTCTCAGCCTTGAGTGAATCTTACACACTCCTAAATCTCTCCACAGATTTTCTTTCTCTCTCCTGCAAAAGAGATGCTAAGATGTGTCCATTTACATTTTAAGTTGCATAGGTGGTCTCAGAAAAACCAAACTAGACCTGAAAAACTGTAAAAATAAAATTCCCACAGCAGCGTGTTCAGTGCCCCAAAAGGCACTGGCTGTTTTCGAGATCTGTTTTCCAGAAATGGAATTAAAAACATTGTGAAGTGATTCAGTTTAAAAAATGCCAACACTGAAAAGCTTTGTTGATGGACAAAGCTCTTTGAGTATTGGTTTTCATCAGGAGATTATCTGRTCATGAGTTTGCAAACCAATTATAYGAGCCCTGGGATTAAARCTGCARTATTTGCATTACTGAAATGCTGGAACTTTATGGTTTTACCATTATTTAGCGAAATAAAAATCTGATATTAAAATTAGAGTTTTRGACATTGGAGTGGTGATCTTACACCTCCCTTTTTGCTGGTATTTTGTTGTGGTGCTCAGTGATGTCATGGGCTGCAGGACCTTGCACATTTTCACACAGCGAAGCAGTGCCACCCAATGGCTCCTGTGCAGCACAGGGATGGTGCCTACGTGCTCCAAAATGCACCAGGACACCTCTGCTCGGGGGTTTATTGCCCTGAGTGGGAATTAGTTGGTCCCTGGCAGCTACTCCCAGTCCTGTTGAGTAATACACAGAGACTGAGCTGGAGCTCAGAGCAGCACAGCAGAGGTGGAGGGAATATCTCTGTGGAAAGAGCTGAAATTACTTGCAGTTCTGGTGGTGGTGTGGGGAATAGTGGGTGGSCGTTGTTCTCCATTCTTCATTGCCTGTCTCTCCAGGGTGGAAGAATACTCTACCAGGAGATGGCACATGTGCCCCAGCCCCTTCTCGGAGATGTGCTTTGTCCTTAGCACAGCTGTGTCCCCCTGCTGCATGATCAGGAGTTATCCTCTGGTGCCTGTGCCCTCGACCTGCAAAAACCCATCCCTAGACAATCTTTCTCGGTATCATCTCTGAATATTGYGGCCTAAATCTTAGTTTGGACAGCAGTTTCTTTTAGATTCAAAAGGCTGAGGCAGGATGCTTTCTCAAAATGTTTCCCACACATAGAACGATAGATAAAAACCAGGACATCACTGCATGCTGAGTTTGAGACAGGATTTTTCTGATGCTCCAATTTAATGGTTCTCCTCTGCAGGGTCTCCCGAGCAAGCCATGTCCCACTACAGGCAGGCCATCCTCCTGAGCCCCACTCACCACGTGGCCATGGTCAACCTGGGCAGGCTBCACCGCTCCCTGGGGCAGAACAAAGAGGCTGAAGTGTGGTACAAGAGGTGAGGATTTGGGGTGGGAGACAGAGGGTTTCCCCCTGCCCCTGTATGGCTTGTCTCTTCTAAAGAGCTTCTGATACATGGATCTGTCAGTGCATGCATGGGGTTTCCTCCCTTCATTCTCCATCTGGTTTGGGGAGTGCTTGAAAAGGCAGCAATGGGCTCAGGCAGTGTTGATTTCCCTGGACTGTTCCCAAGCCCCCAGGATGGACACTGCTCCTTGTGGCTGGGGGATTCTCTCGTGATAAAATCAGAGGTTTCTCAGTGGCAGGAGCATGTTGTTTTACCACAGCTCCCACCCTGCTTGRAGCTAGTCTGTGGCTGCTGCACCASCTGCACAGCTCAGCACCAAACCCTTAGCACCACCAGGAACTCTGGTCCTCCCCAGCAATGTGCCAGCAGGCAGGTTCTGACTCCTGGTATGCAGCAGGATGGACTGGGTGCGGGTATTTTTGCCTTCTTTTTGGCATATAGATTTATGCTCACACTCCCCAGGTTCTGTCACTGTCAACCATCCCCACCCCTCCTGCAGGCTCGTGGGCACTTGGGAGGTGGTTCTTGGCCCTTCTCAGGTGACCAGAGGTATTGCTGCTGTGAACACGCTCATCCCTCCCCAGGACTTAACTTGTGCTTGCCAGGCTCAGATGGTGCAGAGCTTTGGTTCTCCATCCCAGCACAAACCCACCTTGCTCTTCCACTTTGCTGCTGACACCACCTGACTGCATCTCTTTTCCCAAACCCCAGGGCACTGAAGGTATCCCGGAAGGCTGAGATCCTGTCCCCACTGGGGGCTCTCTATTACAACACGGGGCGCTACGAAGAAGCGCTGCAGGTTTACCGGGAGGCGGCAGCGCTGCAGCCTTCCAACAAGGACATCCGCCTGGCACTGGTGAGCATGGGGCCAGGCAGGGCCTCCACAGGGGAGCAGCACCCATGGGTGCAGCCCAGTGTATTGCAGAGGGCTGAGCTTTTCAAGGCCATAACACTTTATAACGTGGCTCTGTTACAGGCTCAGGTGCTGGCGATGATGGGGCGGACGAAGGAAGCTGAGAAGATGACGAACCATATCCTTGGTGAGGATGCTGAGTGTCTGGAGTGCTACCGCCTTCTCTCAGCCATCTACAGCAAGCAGGAGCTCTATGCCAAGGTATTGTGGCATGGGATACCCTTGTCCCAAGGGCTCACACACAGAGCTCAGGGCCAATTTTGCACTCCATCTCTCTGGGCATGTGTCACGTGCCTCAGCACACATCCACTAGGTTATTTCTTCACTAAAACCTTATGTTTATCTACATACTGACACTGAAGCTAAGCAGTGTGATTTTCTTTTAACTTACACCTCCTGCTGTTGTCAGCCCCCCATCAGCCCCAGGCACATAAAAATCTCATTTCCACATGTGTTAATGATGTGGGTCAAACAAGGGAAGGAGGAAGATGACTCTTATGCTGGGAATCCATGGTGGTGAGGAAAGAATGAGAAGTGGGAAGGTGCTGAATGGAAGGCTCACAATGTTCTCTTGCTTTCTCACAGGCACTTGAAGCTATAGAAAAAGCKCTTCAGCTAAAACCAAAGGATCCAAAAGTCATATCAGAGCTCTTTTTCACTAAAGGAAATCAGCTAAGAGAACAGAATCTYCTTGACAAGGCTTTCGAGGTATGACTGCTCTAAAACCTACCTGGTTTTATAGGCTAAAAGATAGAGTTTTTTGTTGTGTTTAAACCCCCTGSTGCATACACCCTGGCCTTAGGAGTTCAGAGTCCATCACTGGCACAGAGGAATCTATGAGGCATCTAACTTTACCAGACTTGACTGCAACTTCTTTCCTCCTTTCTGTGTGGAAATACTCCTCCCTGCCCTAAGAGGTTATGTACAGAATTGTGGTGGGATTGACCCTTGCTCCATCCAGCCCCAGCCCCTCTTGCTGTCAGTGACCAGCTCCAGATAGTTCAGCTGGAAGCTTGGGGACCTGTGAGAGCTCATCATGTTGTTCTGCCTCACCTCAGAAGCCAGTAACTGAGAGGTTAGCTTGTTCTGTGGAGCAGGATGCTTGATAGCTCCRAAATTATGTTTGCATTAATAATAGTACAGAAGCACCCTGGTCTAGTGGATGRTGTCACTGCCTGCAGGAGGGGAGCTGGAACTAGATGATCTTTAAAGTCCCTCTCAAACCAACTCATTCTGTTATTCTCTGATTCAGAAAATTTTATTGGTATTGTTCTGAATATTCTCAATATCCCTAGAGATGTTTAATCTTGACTTCAATCCTTTCCTGTTGTGACAATGTTTAAACAGTGCAGTTTGACAGACTTCAGAAGGTCCTTATTGCTTTTTCTCCCATGCTCAGTGTCAGTGGGGAGGGAAAGCACGGCCCTCAGATCCATGCAAATGGCTGTACCAGAGTCTGCTGCCAGCTCCAAATTAAAAATGTGGCTGCAGATAAAGAGCAGCCACATGGCTTGTAGCTGGCAAGCATTGTGGCTGGCATTGCCTGAGGAAATGACCCTGAGGTGCAGGAGACCCCAGTGGTGCAGGGGACAGGGACAGGGTAGCAAGTGTGGCTTCTCTCACAGTGCAAGAAAAACACAAACTGGCAGGGAAAACCTGTGAGATGGACTGAGCCATGAAGCGGTACATTATGTGCCTCTGCTGCAAAGAAACTGAAATTCACTTTGTGCATTGTGTATGAGAGGAATTTGAATTACATYCTGAATGGCTTCAGGAGAGGAAAATGCGCTTCTTTCCCCTCCAGCACTGGTTTTGTTTGAAGACTCTTAACCTGGAAATGTTTCATGTTTCTGTAGAGCTATAAGCGGGCTGTGGAGCTGAACCCAGACCAAGCACAGGCCTGGATGAACATGGGAGGCATCGAGCACATCAAGGTAGGACAGTTTTGGTTTTCCTTCAGCTGCCAGGTGTAGAGACTACTACTCTGGACAAAAAAAAAAAAAAAAAAAAAAAAAAAAAAGCTGGATTGGTTTCAGACTGCCAAGAGTTTAATGTTTGTGAACAGCAAGTGCCCTTGACGTATTTTATTCAAAAAGGGGGAAAGTCCCTCTACCCCAGCTAGAATTTTCCAGCCTGTTATGCAAATCTCATATTTTAAGAGTGCAGGCTGCAAGGAACAACCTGCTCCTCTCTAAAGCTTTCCTGCTTCAGTTGTTGACCTACCTTAGAAAAATGTCACTGTGATACGACTTTTTACGTTCTTCTCTACCTAATGAATTTAATAAMGATGTCTAATGGCAGAATACTGGCATGAAATTATGGAAATAGATAGCCTACCCTGTAGTTGCTTATTCTTTTGAATAGTTTAGCATATCATTATAGTTTGGGTCTTAAGGAGTCACATTGTGTGATGTCCTTAAGCYATCCTGTTGCTGAATAAAATTAACTCTTCTGGTGCAACATAACAGAAAAATGTAAATCTATTTTTTGCCATGTGAGTTTCATCAAATTTAGGCCAACAACACTTGGTGATCAATTTCATACAGAAGTATTTTTCTAATTCAACCATGTCAAGGTTTCTAAACTCTGTTTTCCCTGCGTTACGTTTTTCACCTTACCCTCAGAATGACTTTTCTATGTCAGGGAATGGGAATGAGATCTGCCACTAATTTTTTTTGTAGGGGAGCTACATCACTGCCCGTGACTACTACGAGAAAGCCTTACAACTGGTTCCAAACAGCAAGCTGCTGAAGGAGAATCTGGCCAAACTGGATCGCTTGGAGAAACGATTTCAGGAAGTCCAGGAGAAAGACCAAACATAGCAATCAGTCACCARCAGAAAGACACTCATGCCCCTTGGAGAAGAGGATGGTGGAAGCCTGTTGCTCAAAGTGATGCTGAAGGAACTTGGATAGGACTCAGTATTATGGAAGGCAAACTCTGAATGCATGCTTAGGTTTGACCAAAGTTACAGGAGACACTCCTCTCCTGTGGGACATGCTGGAGCATGAATGAAAACCTTCCTTTAATCAAGATTTACATCTAGGCTGAACCCATTGTAGTGACACTGGGARTGTGGGTGGGACAGGTACCTTCACTATCTTGGTTGTCACCAGGGAAACCATGGAGACACAGCACTCATCCATTGMAGCAGGGGTGAAGTGGCACCTCCTGTTACTCCACACAGGCTCACCTCATCCATGTAGAGTACCACTGATGGGCTTCGTTGCAAGTGCTGCAGAGAGGAAACATGGTCATAATGGTCACGTAAATAAGGTTCCAAGGGGTTAATGCTGAGGAAATGGTGGCCACTTTTACAGCTCTAAATGTGACTTGAAAATTATTCTAAAGAAAGGGAAAACTATTTAAATATCACCCTGGAAGGATGATTCTACAAGTAGGACAGATGATCCTTTGAGGGAAAACCTAGCCTGAATGTTTTACTCATTAGACAGTAATTTTGTAGTAATTCAGGTTCATGATGTCACTTTTGTCAAATATCATATGGCTTTACCCTTTGCCCTCTCCCTCCAGGCCAAATAATTATTACTCTGGAAAAAACTGAAGCATCCAAAGCCAATGGGAAGCTGTAGGATTATTTGTCCTCCTGCTCAATCCCCTGTATGGAAAACAAACAACCTATCTGATTAATATAGGAGGTGAAGTAAAGCCACAGAGAGATTGGGGAAGATTTGTTAGCCTGGATAGGTACGAAGGAGGCTCTTTTGTGGGTGTACAGGGACAAAACTCATTTATCATGSTGATAACACTCACAAAATACTTGGTCGAAGTGCTCTCACCACTCCCCTAAGAGATACAGAAAATGACCTATAGCTGATCAGTCATAAATCTATATTTTTAAATACTGAGGTGGGAAAGCAAATTCTCTTCAGAACTGGGGCTTTTATTTTTGAGCTTTATTTATTTAACTTATAATAATCAAATAATTAATATATTTTCTCTGTTTTATAYGAATTGGGCAATATCCTCCACAGCTGGCCACGTGGTTGGGCATTGTGACTCGTATTGTCTGAAGTTAGAAAAAGGGAGCACCAGTGAGGCCTGCTGGAATAATTCCCTCTGATGRTTCTAAGGCAAGTGGCTGCAGAGCACATTGGGCCACACTGGCCCTGCAGTAGCAGCACTTCTGCTGCTTCCACTGGGGTTTGCACAAGTTCACAGGGAGCATTAGTGGGATCCTGCTTYGTGCCTTTGGGTTTGGACATCAGGGTAGGTTGTCAGTTCGTTCCTCTTGCAGCAGTAAACTGCTAGAAAAGTTGTYTTGTTTGGGCTTGTCTGTGACCAGACCCTGCAGAAGAGCAGCCCAGGGTTTGGCATTATTAGTAAAGGACAGTTCAGATTAGGGCTGCGATGCCTTAGAGCACATCTGTTAGAAGAAGCCTGAGTGGCAGGCACCCCTGTRGTGCCCAGAATCAGCTGGTGCCAGCCATGGCACCTCAGCAAGCTCTAGATTCACTCARTGTGATGGTTCAGCCACGTGCTGGAGGTTTTGCTGGTTTCCTTTGAAAAGCCTCATGTCAACTTCTACTGGTGGTTAAATTACTGACAAATCATTGATGTGACTTCAGCTGCAGTAGTAGCTCAGAGGGAGTCCAGGTGCAGTTGTCTGCYCTGCCAGGGTTTATGGACCCACCAGAGCCATTTGCACCCTCTGAGACCAGGCTGGACTGGCCCCACTGGCCAAGGAGACCGGCCAGTGCCTGCAGCTGGGCAGAGGTGGGAGGGTGGCAACACAGGTGCTTGGGCTCTCTCCCTTCAAACCAGCTTCCCAGGGGAGCACTGGGATCAGAATAAACAAGTTGTTTTGCTGGTGAATTTTCTGCCCCCAGCCCAAGCAGCCTGCTTTGCTTTATGGGGCCAGGGGTTGGTTTGAGCCCCTGGGGCTGGGTCAGTAATCATCCCTTGTCTTTTCACACGTTTGGTACAGCCCTGACAGTAGCACCATCCAAACCCCCATGAGGAGGAGGCATCTACAGAGTGCTCCAGCAGCCAGCTGAAGCTTGGGGGTAGGATAGGGGGAGATACCCCTCCTTTAAAACTGTATCAGCTATAAACTTTGCCTCATAAAGGTATATTAAATAAATACTATATATTCTACAGGCCCCATTGCCAGTGTGTGGCTTTAAATTGTGGCCAATGAAACATATTTTTTCAAATACAGAAGTTGTATTTTTTATAGCAATGCTCTGTGARAGGGAAGACTTAGTTTTACATTTTTAACCTCGGCTCAAATCTTTGTTTGTCTTTCCTGAGAGACCTGGTAGAAATTATTGTCTCCTTCTTGTCCTAAAATCGGATCAAAGCCATTTTGACCTCCTAAAACTGGTTTATGTGTAGAAGTATAATACAGCTTTGGCTGCCCCCCTCCCACATCCTGGAGAAGGATTGATTACCATTTGTGCAACACTGTCTTACTTGCAGAAAATGGAGAAAGATGAGACCTTCCCAATAAGGGCAGTGGTTTGGTTGGATGACAAGGCAAATCCACTTGGCTGGATTAGGCAGATAACATATCCAGGGATTTTAATGCCAGTTGAACCAGTTTACATTTCTATGCCAAAAGGCCAACTCTCCCCGTTTTGGGGCTGGGTTTATGGTGGTTATGGAGAGAGGAAGGCTCAATAGGGAGCCCCACGTTCCTGAACCAGCACTTTATAGCCCATCTATGCAGGATGACAGTCTGCAAACTGGCAGCAGATTGGGAGAATGGCTCAGACCATGAGCTACCAAAGCAATTAAACCTGGTGAAGTTCTGAGCTGACTCCCTGTCCTGATGAAACCCTGTGTTTGTTCAGGGCATTAATCATGTCAAGGGTTTATTTCAGGCAAAGAAGAATRGAGTGTGATGTGAAATGGGTTACCTCCACCTATTGCTATTGCTATTGGAATGCTATTGTGAAAGATAAATCGAGCAGCTTACCTTGTGATAACTTTATATTATCTTAATTAATCATAGGAAATGTTCTCTTCCTCTAGCAGTGCAGGTTCTAAAATAGTGCGTTATAAATACGTTGTTTTCTGCCGAGTCCAGTGCTCAGCATGGTTAGCAGAGACTGTAAATTAATAAATGGCTGAAGATGTGCCTGGTGGGGGAGAGTTCGCGCTCTCTGCAAGTTGCATTGGCTAAACCTCAGTGCTCACTAATATTAAAGCAGAGAATTAATGGAAAGCTGGTCAGACAGGACTCTCATGTAGTCACTGTGCATTTTAATCCTAAATGAGAAACATCATAATTGTGTTGTTTTCTCCTTTCCCCATGAATAATATTTGCAGCTGATGGATTTTATTTTATTTTATTGCTAATTTAAATTCGAGCATTCTTTGCTTCCATCCCTTTTCCATCCCCCAGGATAAATGATGCAGTGGGGGGCATTTTCTCTCTCTCATGGATGCCTTGGGCTAGATTTTCCTACAAATGTGCAGGCAATTTGTTTTGGCCAAGCAGTGAGTGAATGCAGCAGTGCAAATGGGCTTCATTTCAGAGATCTCGAGGAGGGCAGGGGGCTGTGCATGCATGCATGTGGGTAGAAAGAAGTAAAAAAATTCAGAATAAAGAGCCTAACTTGCAGGGGAGGCTGRACACCCCTAAATGAGCTAAAATCTATGAAAGCTTTTCCACAATTACAGAAATCAGGCCAGAAACAGTGTACTATGTTTGGTGAAAGAAGATAATYATAAATCTAATTTATTAATTAATCAGTTTGGAATATCATTATATGGTCTTTTGCCCCTCTTGTCCTCCAGCTCAGTGAAACWGCTGGTGTATGCTTAAGTCTTTTCAATCTTTATGTGATTAAGGTGACCAAGTGCTCAATTTCTATCTTTCATATATGCAATTATGCAAAATCTTTCAAAAAAAATTGGCCCTTGGAGGGCTTTTCTCCCAACCTTCAGTCTCTTGCAGCAATTTCAAAATTCACCATTTTGCTTTCGCAGACATTTAAACCCAGCAGCAAAATTAAAAAAAAAAAAAAGAAAAAAAAAGAAAAGAAAAAGAAAAAAAACAGCGCTTGGCATTCACTGGTGTTTTAATGTGGCAAAGTTGCTTCAGGTAACCTTGATAACTTTTGCAAAAGTTCATTGCCATGTTTGTACTGACTTGCTGAAAATATTTTCTTCTGGAAAATACCCCCAGTGGTATCCTCTGTAAAAGTTACAGCTTCTACAACTGTATTACTGTAGAAATCTCTGCCTGAAGTGGGTGTCAYGCTGCGTGTTCCTCTCATGCAGGAGTTGTTTGCATTGCCTGTTGTTCATATGGTTCTAATTTCTGTATCTAATTTTTTTAAATTAGTTGTGCATATCTTTTTATTAAAAAAAAAAACAAAAAACCAAAAAAAACAAAAACAAAACCACAAGAAAACACCCCATGGATTAGAAATCTTTGAGAAATAAATTCACTCCTAGCAGCAGCTGGATGTATGTCAGTGATACAGGAATTTGCGAAGTCTTTGCTTTTTTCACTGTGGGATTTATGGCTAGATTTCACATAAAGGAGTTCTGCTTGAAGTCTTTGCAAAAGAAAATGTATGTAAATGTCTATTTTATATAAAAAGTAAGAAAAGTAAGTGCTGTGCCTCTTTCTTTAGGACCAGCCATGAACAAGTTCTTCTGGAACTTGTGGAGGTGCCAAAGGGCCAAAGTTTCTTATTCCACTTGACTTGTATTTTATTTCCCCTGGAGTCCAGGTTAYTGGCATGCAGGAGTAACTAGCAGGATATGTCTTTGGGTCTGGGCATATRAAAATACTGGAGCAGGCATTTTTTGGAGGCTGAACACAAGAAAAGATGTGTTGGTGCTCACACAGTCTTGGTGACCAGACATGTCACACTGAGACGAGCTCTTCATGTCAGGCTTTATGCCTGTCAGGAATGTGCCAGGTCTACTGAGTGCAAAGAGAAAAAATAGAGATTACAAAGAAACTAATTTTGTTGTAAATTCCTTCTTCCTGGCACACATTCCTGGATGCTCCTGCATGCTTCCAGGGTTTGATAATGATGGGGATCATTATCATGATAATGATGATAATGATGATATTCCAGGGGATAATGATGATGATAAACAACTCTACTGAAAGAGAATCAAAAGCTCTGAACACGTGCCATGGATGTTTGCTCCCATTGTGGTGTGTGCAGAATGCTCTGTAGCATGGAGGGGAATTGCACACTGAGTCAGTCTGTACTGAACCCTGAGGTTCTTCCAGACCCCAACAATGGGGCTTCTCCCCAGTGCCCACAGAGGTCCTCTGCAAGACCTTGGTGGCAATGATGAGGGGGGACATCAGATTCTGCTGCTGAGCCTGGAAACAGGCAGCAAACTCCAAACAGGAGAGCCCAGGGAGCTGGGAACACCAGTGAGATAGAGCTGGAGAGCTTCCAAACCCACCTGTGGTGCCACCCTGCAGCCTCAGCTGATAAAATGATYGACTTCCATCTGTTAAAGGRYTGGTTAGGGGAGAGGTGAGTTGTTYCTCCTGTGAGAARCAGAGYCCAGGCTGAGCTCCAGCACTGGGTGCTTCTCCTGAGCTGTGGTGGCAGCAGAGCATCTTTCTGCTCATGGTCCTTGCTCTGTGTGGTGAGTTTTGTGCAGTCTGTGGGGAAATGTGCCCCAGTGTGGGGGCTGTGGCAGCGAGCACTGGTGCCATCTGCTCTTTTGAGGTGCCAAACAGGGSAAAGTGGCCGGTCAGCTCTCACAGATGGTGCCAAAGCTCAGTGTGAGTGGTGCTCAGCCCTGGTGAGTGATTTTTAGGTTGCCTTTGCTGGGACTGGGAGCCTTTCATCCCTCTCATGTAGGTGCTCCTCTGGCTGCTCTGCCATGCTCTGTTCCCTGTGCAGGCTGCCCGGCTGCTGTGGGGTCCCTTAGCTCTGCAGGAAGATGAACAGCTTGGTCCTGCTGAGTTTGGTAACTGGTCACCCTGGGGCACCAGGTCAARCCCTTCTTGCCCATCCCCCTGCAGTGGCATCCATTCACAACTCCCTGTCTGGCCTGCTCCTACACCCATGTGAAAATTCATGTTCTAGGGATGCTTTTAGGTGAGAAAGGGAAAKAAGCACTGGACAGGTGGTGCAGAGGTTCAAGCTGGGCAGGAGAATGGTGATGTTCAGAGTGACGTGCTCCTGATGTTGAAGGCAGTGCTAAAATCATCAGTCCTGCTRAGGCAGGAGATGGGATAACCAGCTATCTGCCATTCCTGCCACCCTGCTCCGGAATGAYGCTGGTCTTTCTGCTGTTGCTAATGTTGTTTCTCTCACCACCAAAGGGAATGGTGTTTTCTCCATCATTTACCACCTTGATAAAGTCTATTTTCTGCTTCACTAGTGGACTTGCTGCTATAGCAATAATCACCACAGTCTCGAGCTGGAAAAGCCAGTCAGCACCAAGGGCTGGGGACAGTTTGGTCCAGGTCAGTGGCTTAGAAAATTGTGCCTGGGCTTTGCAGCGGTCAAGTGCTTTGAGGCCAGAGGGGGAGAGGTTGGTGTGAACAGGGCAGCACGTGGCTGAGCCCCTCTGCAGCCTTGAGCACTGCAGGAGTTGTGTGAGGATCCTCACAACTTTGTGGGGTGAGTCCCACTTGTTACTGCCGAGGTTGTGGGGTGGCTGGTTAGAGGTTGTGGTCTGGCTAGAGGAGGAAGATGTGGGCTCCTGGGTGCCCTGGCACTCTCACAAGGTGGTGTGAGAAACTGGTGAGCTTTCTAATGCCTGTCAATCACGAAGCATAGCCTGTCAATCACGAAGCATAGCCTTCACAGAAGGCATTGGCTCCAAAGTCAGAGAGGGCTGGATTGAGGTCATTTTGGATCCGCTCTCAGTCTGCTGGTGGCTCAAGTGAATTGTTCCAGGCTCTCACCAGAGCAAACACAGTGTGAGTACCTCCTAAATCATAAGCATTACATTGCTTTTGTTTGCATGGTTGGGAACTGAGCTCTTACCCCAGCCTTGCCTTGGGAGAGAGAGGGGACCCCTCCTGTTGGCAGGAGAAACACACGGGATAGGAATGATTACAGAGCAATTTTTAGCTGGTGCAGACACAGGCCAACTGAAAGAAGTTGAGGAAGAGCTGCTGTCCTCAGCAAAGGAGCCAGAGGTGCGATTCCACCCCTGTCCTACAGCTTCCAGCCTTGAGAAGCAGCCCTCCAGCTGGCAGGAGAAGTTGCAGATATTTTCTGTTTGTCCCAGGTATTTGAGGTCACTCCTCCTGGGTGGTCATTGCTGTGATTGTTGTGTTCTGGGCTGGCCCAGGGGAGCAGCACCTCCCTGGCTCCCTCACCCAGCTCTTCCAGGTCTGTCACTGTGGGCACCACTCCCTGCTGGGTGAGGACTGGAGGCATTTTCCCCAGAAAACATCCATGGGATCACCACGGATTTACCCAAAACAGCACAGGTTCAGTGAAGCCTCTAAGCCTTAATGAGACCCAGCCCTCCCTAAGTCACATTGTCCCCATGCTCCCTGTCCACATTCCTAAGGCACAGCTGGTGCCAAAGGCGATGGAAGGAACCTGTGTCTCCTTGGGAGGTGTTTCAGACCAAAGCCAAGACTGAGGGCTGGGCCAGTTCAGGTCAGACACAACATCTTTCATGATTACTGGCACAGGTTAAGCATCCCAGGGCACTTAAGGCACAGAAGCTTTTAAAAATAAACTTTGGGTAGTCTGGTGATGTCATTACAACCTGCTGCACTTCTTCCTTAATTTTGTAAGTCCCAGTAGCATTTCATTAAGAATAATTAGGCTACTGGATGAAATCTAAATTTGTTTTTGTTTTTTTTTTATGGCTCTGCACACATATCATGAAAGTGCCTCACAGGAGACCTCAGCTTTGCACACATCAGCTTCCTATAAAGAACTGCAATTTCTGTGTGTTTTCATTTATCTCCATATAATTGCCTTCAGCTTGGAGCTCAGACTGGAGTCAGGAAAGCTGTGGCACCTGGGATTTGTCTCATTAATTCCCTACCTGCCAGAAGAGCCTGAGGTAATGCATTTAAACTTGTGAGGTCTYGTCTCACTGAAAAACAATCTTTTTTCATGCCTTCTGTGTAGCCTGAAGTGTGGAGTTTGTCCCATTGACCCGGGAGCCCAGAGGATGCTGTGCAGCTGAGATTAGCTGTTGGCAGACATGTGGAGCTTGGAGCCCTGGCAGGTTTGTGTTGCAGTGTGCTGCCCTCCTCTCTTGTAGCTGGAGGAGAGGCAGAAGCCGTCTCTTTTTCATCCTCCACTCACTGAATGCTAGTCACTCCAGAGTGCAAAGTCCTTTTTGCACAGTTTTTCAAACCTGGTTCATGGTGTGGATATCTCCATGCTGCTGTGGTTTCTCTGTGGGTCTCAGCTGCTAATTATAAATGGTTTTGTCTTTAAAAGACCCTGCTCACCTAAGCAGSCACCCAGAGAAGCATTTCTGAGGCAGCAGCAGAAGCACTGCTGTTTTCTGGCAGTTGTCTCATCGCTCTTAGTCATGTTGGCTTCTGTGCTTTAAATGCAAGACCATCTTCCCAGGCCTTGCTAAAGACTTCTTAATGGGCAGGGACAATGATAAAAGAGGCCTCTTTGCCAGCCCTTTCATAATCCTTTATCTTGTAATTGCAGACCAGTCATCTTCACATCTGCTTCTTGCTCGACTTGGGTGCCGTTTTCGAGGACTAATGTTCAATAATGAGAAAGTTGCTGTGGTATAAAAACTTCAACCTGCAAGATTACCCTCCATAATGAGGCACYTCCTTGTTTTTCTGTCCCATGCCAAACCAGACAATGCTTTTCCTCTYCACTGCTGTGCTGTTCCCGTGTTCCCATCACTGCAGCATTTGCATTGCCAGGCAATCCTGGTGTCAGGCTTTGCTGGGAAACATGGGAAGCATGGGAACTTTCCATTTCCAGTAAATAGCCTCCTGGGGATTTAGGCTGAGCTCTGCCATTGCTGGGTCTGTTACTTATGGTTGGAAGTGATTAGAAAATGAAAGTAAGGTTTTCCCTGAGTGGGGGGAAAAAAAAAAAATCTTAATTTACTAGAAAGCATTGAAGCAAAGGCTCCTGCTGAACCCTCGATACCTTGAATCAAAATGCTTGAGGCCAYGCTTCAGGGGCAGACAGCCCCTGTGAAGTGTGATCCTGCCAGGCTGCCTGGATTGCCCTCCCCAGAGGCTGCAAGGGTGAAATAGCACGGTGGTAATTCAAGAATTAAACAATAATTCAGTGGCTGGAAATTTTTGTCCCACCCTGCACTGGAGCACTTGCTGCATCCCTAGAGGAGCACAAATGCCAAAGATCTGGTCTGCTAAAGATGGGATCTACTGCTCATCTCTTCACTGGGTAACTGCCCTGAGAGTGGCTCT